GGAGAAGACAATGTCATTGATGATGATGTCGATGACGGTGCTGAGTTGCCTTATGAAGGCCACGGCCTGAGCAAAGCGGTTGATGACAATGAGGAGGATGAAGAAGAGGAAGAGCCACGTGACGGTGCTGCTGATGGACACGGCGACGGTGAGGCGGAGGACGCTGCTCCCGGCGCGGCGGTGGGATCAGGCAGCAGCCCTGCTGCAAACAGTGACGCCGAGCAGACTCTTGCGAAGGACACCAGTGACACTTCTACGTCTGCCACAGTTCAGATGTCCGTTGAAGCCAATGGGGAAGTGTCACAGGGAGCCAACCGCACGCAGGCTGATGACAATGCCCCATATGAACCTCAGCCGGCCTCATCACCCCACAACGCAGCAACGCTTTATGGCAATATCTTCGCCAATTTGAAGAACATTACTGGCGTGAGGCCTGATGAAGGAAACAGCGACAGCGCCGTGCGTGGGTGTGTGCCTCGGTTGCCGCTTCTGGCTCTGCTGGGGTTGTGGGGCATTGCGGCTTTTTCTGTTGGATGAAAGGGTGGTGTGGGTTTGCGACGCCTTAGATGATAAGCTGCCCAGCGCTACTCATCGCATTTATTCTCTCCTTTTTTTCTTTTTCTTTTAAAAGCCCCATCTTGATTTCTACTTGCTGCTGATGCTTTGCTGGTATAATCGGCATCTCATTTTTTTTTGTTTTTTGTTTTTTGTTTTTTGTTTTTTGTTTTTTGTTTTTTGTTTTTTGTTTTTGTTTTTTGCTTTTTGCTTTTTGCGCCAATAGTCGTTTGCCGTACACGCAGCGTCATGGGTGGTGGCCGCATTGCTGTGTGACCCACTGACGACGCAGCCGGCACGTTGAAGCGCAGGCCGCATGCCGCACGAAGTGTGGGAGGGATGTGCGGGCTCGTGGAACACGGCGGTCCTTTTTTTTTCTCTTTGTTTCAGCGCAGGCAATAAATATACACATAGGCGGTCCTCTTGGGATTTTGGACACGCTAAAAAAAAATGCCCACCGAAGTAGTTTCTTTTGTTTTGAGCGTATTGCTGGATCTCCATTTTTGGTTTCTCCCACCATGAGTTCCGGTGGGCGTCCACTTTTTAAGGCTTTTCCGTTATTTAATTTTTTTTTTTGCCTAAATCACTGCGACTCACTTTTTGTAGGTGCCGTGTCCGCCACCGTCGCTGCGTGTCTCTGTGTTTTGTTTGCTCCCGCTGCCGGCTGTGCGGTTGGCATGCCTTCATTCCTCTTCTTCTTCTTCCTGCTAGAGGCACCGGGAGTCCACGAGGAGGAGTCTTTTAGTTTTCCGCAGCGATGGCACGGGAGTGGCGGGGCGTGCGTCCGCTGCTTTGAAGGCGCCTGCTGCGGAGGGAGAGAATGTGCGGGGTGTGCGGCGTGTCTCGCTGCGAGTGTGTGGGGCACCACCCATCGCAGCCTGCCGTGCGGTGTGATGCGGATGGGTGAGGGCAAATAGGCAGCAGCGGCAGCGTGTGCGGGGGATGTGGATCCGCCCCGTCCTTCGCGCTGCGGCTGTGTGGGTGCGCTGTGCGGCTGGCTTCTCCTCCGCGTGTCTTTCGCCCTCGCACGATGGGGGTGTCGTGCTTCGCCTTTGCGTCGTGGTTTTTTATGCTTCGATGTGTGAGGGTTCTTTTTTGTTTTGCTTTTCGCCCTTGCATGTATGTGTGTGTTTTGGGGTGGACGGTGAATGAAGTGTGCGGGGGACGAATGTGCGGCTGCGTCTCGCTGCTGCGTCCTCGAGGGGCGGTGCCCGGTGCTCTGTTTTGTGGTTTCTCTGCGCCGTGCGCAGGCGTCTCCCACGCTGGTGGGCAGAACCCTCCTCTTCCTGGTGCGCGTCTCACTTTCACCCTCCTCTCTTCCTCCTTCTTCTCTCCGCCCCTCCCTAGACTGTGTGTGTGTGTGTGTGCTGCGGTGACAAGAGTGAGGATGGCTGGCCGTGTGCTGTTGGTTTGTGCCCTCTGCGTGCTGTGCTACACCGCCGGCGGTGTCGGTGCATGGGATTTAGATGGGGGCTACTGCACGGACAAGTCGTGGAAGGTCCTGAGGATTTTTAATTACAGTTTAAGTGATGGCGAGATTTTGGATAAATACTGCAGCCACAACAGAACTTTTGTTGAGCGAATTAAAAAGAGCCTTCCTTCAAGCGAGGCCGCCGAAAAGCTGATTGTTGGAGGGAACGGTGGCTCTCCAAGTGGCGGTGGTACAAATGGAGAAGCGCTAGGTTCCTCTCCGTCTGGCGGCGTTTCAGTTGGAGCGGGGTCGCAGAACTCCCTGCAAGCACCCGATGAGGGCGGCAGCAGCACGTTGCACGGCGCAGGAGGACCCAAACCCTCAACGCAGACGGAGGAGAAGCGTCAATCACTTCCCCAGGAGCAAAAGTTATCATCTCCAACTCCGCAGAAAGTTGAGCAGCAGCCGCCGCCAAAGGCCCCAGCCGAAGATCCGGCAAAAGGGCGAGTGAAAGAAGAACCCGCTGCACGGAATGGAGGTGCCGACGAGCATCCATCAGCAGGCGGCAGGAGCGGGGAAACCAGTGTGTTATCTTCTGCTTCTCCAGGTGGTGGTGGAGTGCCTGCGAGCGGTGTAGCTGAAGGAAAGAGCTCAGAGAAGGCTGTCGAAGACACTCAAAGCACTGCGGCAGCAGCGCCACGAAGTGCGCCACCTGACAATGGTGCCGATGCACCAAACGGCAGTGCGAAGGAAACGGCAACACCGCCAGCTGCCAACGCCGCTACCAAAACAATGAAGGCGACGCATGGCGACAGTGACGGCGGCACCGCGGCCTCGCACTGCACCTCCCCCCTTGCGCTGCTTCTTCTTGCGTGTGCGGCGGCTGCTGCGATGGCGGCGGCGTGAGGGAGCCGTGCGCAGCTAGTCCTTCTCTTAAATATATATATTGCTCTCTCTTTCTGTGTGTCCTCCTGCACGGACTGTCGCCCTCGCCCCACCCCACGAGGCACACACGTAATGTGCTCATGCAGGCCCGTTGGTTTTTAAATTTTGCTTTCAACGCGCTGCCGCTGCCGTTCTGCTTGGCTGCATGGGTAGAGCACCGTAACTGTTTTTATCATTTTAATTGTTTTCGTTGCTTTCGGTGGGCGGCCTCTTTGTTTCCCTCCTTCTTCCTGGATTGGGCTGTGCGGGAGGAGAGGGAGTGTGCGTGTGGTGGTTGTCCCACTTGTTGCTGCGCGTCCCCACTGCTCGGTGGACGCTCCACGCTTCAGCTTCACTTCACGGGGTGTGTTTGTGTGTTTTTTTTTGTGTTTGCCTCATTTTTTATGGTCGTTTGCTGCTGGTGTTTTGCTGGAGTAATCCGCTCCCCTGTTTCCCTTTTCTGCTCGAATGGTCGCTTGCGCACACCGCCATGCGTGACGGCCTCACCTCCTGTTTGCTTTTTTGTTGCCCCCCGCTGTGGCAGTGGCATTACTGTGCGCTCCACTGACGATGCAACTGGCAGGTTGAAGCGCATGCTGCGTGAGGTGTGCGGGGTGCGTGCGGGCTTATGCAGCACGGCGGTTTGTTAAAAATTTCGCGGATAACAAACGCATCTCCCGGTTGCGCTTCGGGAAACGTGAGGTAAAAAACACCTGCTGAGGTAATTTATTTCCCATTTTTTTTTTGGTGGCAGGGTCTTGCGGGGATTTGCCAGTTTTCATCCTCAGCGTTCTTTTTTATTTGCGTTTTGGGCTTCAGTGCCGCAGCTGCTACCGTGTGGGACTGCGCTGCTTTTAATTCATTCTTTTGCCTGTGCGCCGACACGCATCTGTTTTGTTATTGCACCGCCTCACTTCTCTCGCCATCACACACGCGGAAGGAAAGAGACCAAACGCTACTTGCTACTGTGCACTTTGAAAGGCCCTGTAGTCACCACCAGCAACACACACACACACACACTCGCGCCTACTGCCTGAGTGGATCCACCGCACAGAGGGAAGAGAGTGTGAGTAAGCAGCGACACATGCCCAAGATGTCCTGGCATTTGTTTTCTTATTTGGTGCTGCTGCTGCTGTTTGTGCTCTTGACATGCTGTGGCAGTCAAGCCGCGGGGAGTATCCCAGGGACGGCCGTTAATTTATTCACAGGGACGAAACCGATAACTGGTGCCAAATGGGAGGAAATGCAATGCGTTGAAGGGTCAGTTCGCTCGCTTCGTGTCCCCAGCCTTGTGGAGGTGGACGGTGCTGTGTTTGCCGTTGCTGAGGCCCAGTGCAAGAATGGAAGCGTCAGCTTCACTGGCATCTTGTCACAACACCTCAAGGGAATTGGAACAGAACCGACTGAGATTCCGATGGGTGC